TAGAATACTGCAATATATTATTCTGTGTCTAAAATAAACTAAGGTGAAACATTGATACATATAATGTAAGATAATAACCTAAAATAAATCAGATAAATTATAGAGGTGTGCAAGATGGTTAAGATGCTTGCCCTCCAATCTAAGTGTCCTGGGTCCAAGTCATGTGACAGCACTGGCTTTATTCTTACTAAAAAATATCTCTACTTCACCACTCTTGTAATGTAGTTTATAAAGGTTCATATTATTTCATTTATTTTAGGAGACTCCTAAATATCAGCAAACATTCTAGCACCCTTTAAGTAGTGGTAAAGATAACGATAAATAAATATATGCTTTGCCTGTATTGTACAATTCTATAATATAATACAAACTATAGATTTCGTTTTCATGCAGACACAATTAATGTTTTATATAGGTTATAATCAGATTTTTATTGAATAGAATAAATATTATGTTTACTAGTAAGTTATCATGTGTGTTATGTTGTAATAATAAATATAATTTATTATTATTTTTATTCATATTCTAAAAGGTACTGGACTATGGTGTCTAAAATGAACTAAGGTGAAACATTGATATATATAAGGTAAAATAATAAGCTATAATACAATCAGATAAGTTATAGAGGTGTACATGATAGTTAGGATGCTTGCCTCCCTATCCAAGGGTCCTGGGATAAAGTACTGCGCAACAGCACAGGTTTTATTGTCACCACTAAGAAATCATCACTACTCTCTTGTACAAATGTTCACATTATTTCTTTTAATTAAAAGGGCCACTAAATATCAGCCAACAATCAAGAATATGCTGGAAGGGCCACCCTTTCATATGTTGTTAAAATAAAGATAAATAAGTATATAAGAGTTAGTGTAGTGTTAGTAGTGTTAGTGTTTTCATGCAAACACAAATCTGCCCCACCATGAAGCACTGGCAATTGCATTGTTTTAAGTAATTAAGAAATAAACATTTGTATTAGCCAGTTCTTATTCTCTATTTTCAATTTATTTGATCCACTTTTGTTACAGTGGAATTTAAACAAAATGTATGGTGCATCCAAGAAACATACAAAAGTAAAATACATATAGAAAAGGAAATTGATTTAAAACTGCAAAATGCAACCTAGAACTGCAAACTGTACACAAAGGTTATAGGCGCTATTATCATATTATACATTTTTTTGTATGCAACCACTCTTGCATAAACAGAGGCTATTGATTAGTTAGCTTGTATTCTTTTCTGGTGGATTTTACTGTAGTTTTACACTTCTTTATACAGGTCGCTTACTTGAGCTTTGATTCTGTAAATTAAAAATAATATAAACTGATTTTTTTTTAATAGATTTTTGTATTTTGTCCTAATATAATATATATTAATTTTTTATATTTTTTAATAGAATATTTTTGTATTAAATGCACTGATTTTGTAATTTACTGATTTTTTTAATTACAACAATTTCAGTTGTATAGCTGCTCGTTGTAATTATGATTTATAGCAGAATAAATAAATTACTTCCTATTTGTTTGGCTAATTACATGTTAGTATCGGATTTGAGCATATTGTTCAAAATTAGTAATTCTATGATATTGACAACAAAATATAGTTTTTGAAAAGTGTTCAGTTACTTTCTTTTATCATGGAAGCAATGCTTTCTATAAATCTGCAATACCGTTGATAAGATGAAACACTGAAGCTTGCTTCCCTCTCAATCAAAGGGCCCTGGGCCCAAGTCTTGGAACAGCCATGATTTATTCTCATCGCTAAGAAATGAATTGTACTATCTCGTTGTTGTTTATAAAGGTTCACATTATTTCATTTATTTAAGTGGACCCATTGAATATTAGCCAACTGTCTTGAATAAGTTGGAAGGGTCACCCTCTTTAAGTATTGTTAAAATAAAAGAAATTAAAAAAAATCCAAGGGACCTGGGCTCATCATTTGTTGTCACCACAAAGAAAAGATCTCCGCTCTCTCCCTAATGTAGCTTATACAATTTCACATTATTTCAATTATTTCAGAGTACCGTTGATATCAGTCAACATTCTAGGATACACTTCACCATTGTCATCACCATCATCATCATTATCATCATCATCATCATCATCATTATCATAATGCCATTATCACCACAATCATCATCACTGTCGTCGCTATTATCATCAGCATCATCATCATCATCATCATCATTATTACTAGGTCATTATAAATTATAACGTAAATACTAAATTATTACCTTGATATATAGTTTAATTTTTTTTTTTTACTGCAAAAAAAGTCAACACTTAATTACATTTTGATGAAGCTCATTTATCTTTATTTATAAAGGTTCACATTATTTCACTTATTTAAAAGACTCCTAAATATCATCATTATCACTAGGCCATCATAAAATATAAAATAAATATTAAAACATAACCTTGATATATCGTTTGATTTTTTTTTCTTATTTTAAGCAACATATCAACATTTTTTTTTTATCAATATCATTTATCTTTATCATCAACTCTGTCGAATGCAAATTACAATTATAAACAAATTACCACATGAATATTTAGTAAACCATTGCTCCACATTATATTCAGGAACTGAGGTATACAACAATATTTGTGGCATCTTCGTAACCATCACTAAATGTAAATATCCATCCTGTTTAAATATCAATGTTAATGCATCTGATTTCCTATATTTCAGGTTCACATAAGATGCCACTGGATAGCCAACCGTTATGTAGAAGAGGAACAACATTATTATCTGTAACTGAGGAACAAATCAAGGTTGGGTTGTGCCACGGCGGCTAGCCTTCCCCACCCACCATAAAAAAAGGGGAAAGGAGAAACAAAAAGAATGGAGAAAGGGGGGAGGACAGTACTTTAATTATTTAAATCCCATGAACCAATTTCTATGATAAGCATTTTAAACAGAAACAGCTTTTCGAGAGGCAGAGGGGTTTGTTTTTTGTTGTGATGGTCTGTAAGCCTATTTGGAGGAAATATTAATTACAGTGGAGGGTAGTTAGAGCATTGTAACTGCAAGGAAAAGTGCTAGAGAAGACCCAAAGAATTAAGTAACATACATGTTATGAAAACATGATC